CTTGTACTCGTATGATCATAAGTTGACCCACGGTGACAGGTGCCTCAACGGTATTCCATTTGTTCCGTTGCTGGCAGTTATGTAGGTACTCGTTAGTCCACCGTTTCCAGAAGTGTTAACGCAATTGCTCGATGCGCTGCCATCTTGTTAACCCATTAACATTAGATTCGACTAAGGACGGTTCTGGGTACGAGGTAATAGGACAGCCGATCAGGAAGTGTGCGGGAGTGAGAGCCGAAAAATCATTAGGATTCGCTGACAACGGAGTGAGCGGCCTTGAGTTGAGGACAGCTTCAACTTGAGCCAACAACGTTAAGAATTCCTCATATCTGTAACGTACGTGTAAATCAGCATAAAACTTTTGAATTAAAACTTTTAAATCTAAAATAAATCAGAAGAAAAATTATTGAACTCTTACAGCGCAATGGGCATACCAATGATATTGATTAATAATCAAGTTTCTCCGTGGGAGACATCGCGATCGTCTATCGTATTACAACCCGAGCGAAGCAGGTACCATGGTAGCAGGGATAACTGTTGCCAGGGTGGTGTTTCGAACAGAGAACACCTTCTTCCTCCACTTAAAATATCGTGGGGGAATTCAACTATAAATATAAGGAGAATCTTCGGGACAGGAGCTTTCAGCTGTTCAGCTGTTCAGCAGAGTCTTTAGACCTCAGTTCAGTTCAGAGTTTAGAGTCAGACAGTTTTAGATTAACAGACCTAAGACTTAGTTGTTTTAACTGTTGATTCGAATTTATTCCGATTCAAGGAATTGTTTACTCTAAAATAAAGCAAGCTTTAGTATTAATTAACAACAATTCATTTCAACGAAATCCTCCATTTCATCTGATCGCTGCCTAATTGTGTGGCGAATAGATTTCCTAAGTCAATTTGATCGCTGCCTATAGAGTGGCGGACAAAGCATCAATCTCCTACCTTTATCCTTATGACAAGAAAGAAAGGCGGAAAACGCGTACAACTCAAGAGAATTAAATACCAAATTAAGGAAGCCTTATCTTCTAACCAAGATCCAATTTCCCTCTTTGAAAACCTGCATAAATTACTATCTGAGTTAGAAAACAAAGAACAAGTTCAAAAATAACTAAGATTAAAGTAATTATTAGATTCACACAATCAAGTCCAAATCCCCGGTAAAGCACTTAAATGTGTTGATCGAAAAACGGACGAAACTTTGACTTTGTCAGACCGTGACATATCGCATGGACGCCTCACTCATGATGCGTTTGATATGAAATTTGGCCGATTTTAAGGCGCTCTCCCACAGGCCGCCCATGTGGGGTGCCCTTGGGGGAATGAAGTGCCATTTTATACGTTCGTTGGTCGCAGCGTCCATGATTTTTCGTCTCGAATCATCATCATTGAGAATCGCATACAGCTCGCTAAGTGGGCGCTCTGCGCCCACAAAGTTCAAGCCGTTATCGGAATAAATGTCGTTAGGGCGACCGCGTCGAGATATGAAACGCTTAAGTGCATTTAGAAAGGTTTCGGTAGTGAGATCACCAAGTCTTCCCC